TATGTACTAATTAGATGTATACTAATTACATTATAATCTAATCTAATCCATTATTGATGCTAGTACTGATTTTAAAAGGAGAATAGGAAGGGCTGGGCACTGTAGCTCACGCTTGTAATCCCACCACTTTGGGAGGCCAAGGCAGGAGGATCGCTTGAGCCCAGAAGTTCAAGACCAGCCTGGGCAACACAGCAAGACTCTATCTCTACAAAAAAAATTTTTTTTAAAGCTGGGCATTGTGGCACATGCCTGTGCTGTGGTCTTAGCTACTCAGAGGGCTGAAGTAAAAGGATCACCTCAGACTGGGAGTTCAAGGCAGCAGTGAGCTGTGATGGTGCCACTGCACTCCAGCCTGGGCAACAGTGTGAGATCCCATCTCTATTTTTAAAAAAATGAAAAAAGGAGAATAGGAAATAAAACTATAACGTGAAGATACTAGGGCAGTTTCTGGATCTCACTTAGGAAGTAGAAACTTTGGACAGTTACCTAAACTCTCCGAGGATATTATTTCCCGCCTTCCTTACAGGACTATTGTGAAGATTGCATGAGTTAATATATGCAAAGTTTATGGAGTTTCTAACACTGCCTACGGGCAATGCTCGTAAGTGTTGTGCTGCTATTTACAGAGCACTCGCGTCAGATACTGTGTTGTGTGCCTTTTAGCCTTTCTCATTTAGTCTGAGATGGGTATTATCTCTAAGATAGGTATTATCTCCATTTCACAGATAAGGGAAGAGAATCTAAGAGGTTAAGTTTTGAAAATGGGCACACTGGCTGGTCTGTAGTCCCAGCTACTCAGGAGGCTGAAGTGGGAGGATCACTGGAGCCCAGGAATTCCAGGCCAGCCTGGGCAAGGTAGCAAGACCTCATATCAAAAAAAAAAAAAAAAAAAAGGTAGTTTTGGAAGTGGATTCAAAGCAAGTATATATCTAACACCCAAATTCTTTTTCTTGTTTAATGCTTCACTTATTCACTCAACAAATATTTACTGAACTCCTATCATGTACTCAAAAGGGATAAAATAATGAACAGAACACATAATATTCATGCTATCAGAGACGGGGGAGGCAGCAGCAGAAGTAAGACAGGTATCAAACAAAAAGACTAAGGATACAGAACCATGAGGGGGGTTGTACCAGCAACTAAGGGAACATATAACTGTGAGACATCATTTACTAAATGTAACCAAGGGTGGAGGACACCTTCCTGAAGATGTGACACTTAACGCTAAAACTTGAAAGGCAAATAGGAGTTACCCATGAAAAGGCAGAAAAGAAGATTCTAAGAAAAGCATAGGCAAAGGCACAAAATCAAGAGAAAGCACGAGTGTAAAAGGCATAAACAGAGTTCAGCATCTTGGAGAAGGAAACAGAAAAGAAACGAGTTCAACTTCTAAGGTTTTTCTGAGACAGTCTCACTCTGTCGCCCAGGCTGGAGTACCGTGGTGTGAGCTTGGCTCGTAGCAATCTCTGATTCCAGGATCCAAGCAATTCTCCTGCCTCAGTCTCTCGAGTAGCTGGGACTATAGGCATGCGCCACCACACCCGGCTAACTGTTTTTTTTTTTTTTTTTAAGTGGAGATAGGGTTTTTACCATGTTGGTCAGGCTGGTCTCGAACTCCTGATCTCAGGTGATCCATCTGCCTTGTCCTCCCAAAGTGCTGGAATTACAGGCATGAGCTACCACACCTGGACTGGAGTTCAACTTTATTTATTTATTTATTTTTTTGAGACAGTCTCGCTCTGTCGCCCAGGCTGGAGTGCAGTGGCATGATCTCGGTTCACTGCAAGCTCCGCCTCCCTGGTTCGCGCCATTCTCCTGCCTTAGCCTCCCGAGTAGCTGGGACCACAGGCACCTGCCACCACACCCCACTAATTTTTGTATTTTTGGTAGAGATGGGGTTTCACTGTGTTAGCCAGGATGGTCTCAATCTCCTGACCTCAGGTGATCTGCCCACCTCAGTCTCCCAAAGTGCTGGGATTACAGGCGTGAGCCACCGCGCCCGGCCTGGAGTTCAACTTTTACTATCAGGAGTCTGACAAGCTGGTGAGAACAGACACCTGGGCGGTTAAATGTGGGGCTAAAGAGAAAGATCTGGAGTTGTCTATTATATTACGCAATTTCAGAAGAGGGGTCTGTAAAGGAAGGACAGTGAAACAGTCAAAAATCAGAAAGCAAGGAAAGAAAACCACTGTAGGTTTTTTGTTTTGTTTTGTTTTGAGATGGAGTTTCACTCTTTTTGCCAGGCTGGAGTGCAATGGCACCATCTCGGCTCACTGCAACCTCCGCCTCCCAGGTTCAAGTGATTCTCCTGCCTCAGCCTCCAGAGTAGCTGGGATTACAGAGCCCACCACCACGGCCAGCTAACACACCTAAGCACCTGTCTCCTGGGCCAACTTGGTGCAGATTTCTGGGGCCTCCTTCTATATGGGAGGTGGCCCCAGGAGCTGTGCAGAAACCAAATAGCTTCTCTCCAAGCAGACAGTGAATGTGTCGGGCAGAAGAACTGTGTTTGGCACCTTTCGTCCCTAAACGTTAAGACTTTTGATGAAACACCCACAATCAAGTATTCAAGAAAAAGAGGGAGAAGATTCATGCTGGAACACTGAACTAACTGCCAGGTTATCAAGAAGTCAAACATATTTGCATGTAAGTCCGTATTAACTAATGATTACACAGCTTTCAAATATCTGCATTTCAAATTTCTCCAATAAGGCTGGGCACAGTGACTCATGCCTGTAATCCTAGCACTTTATTTAGGAGGACAAGGTGGGACTATCGCTTGGGCCCAGGAGTTCAAGACCAGCTGGGGCAATATAGCAAGACTATGTCTAAAAAAGAAAAGAATTTCTCCAGTTAAAACAATTCACTCAAGCTGGGCATGGTGGTGCCCGCCTGTAGTCCCTGCTACTCGGGAGCTGAAGCAGGAAGATCATCTGAGCCCCGGAGTTCAATGCTGTGGTATGCTAGGATGGCACCTGTGAATAGGTACTATACTCCATAGCAAGACCCTGTCTCTAAAAAACATTTTTATAATTAAAAAAAGATTCATTCAACAAGCTGCCTGGTTATTCTGCAAGTATCTCAACTCAGCCACCAGCTTTTTGATCCAGATAAATTGTTCATGTGATTCCTAACCTGAAGGTTTGTCTTGAAACATGGCCCATTTAATAATGAAGCTGTAAGACTCCTGAAATCACTGGGAGTTTTTAAAATTTCACTCACCTCATTTAAACATTTTTCTGGGTGGTAGTAATTTAGAGAACTGCTTCTTTTTTTTCTTTTTTTTTGAGACAGAGTCTCACTCTGTCGCCCAAGCCGGAGTGCAGTGGCACCATCTCGGCTAACTGCAAGCTCCGCCTCCCGGGTTCACGCCATTCTCCTGCCTCAGCCTCCCGAGAAGCTGGGACTACAGGCGCCTGCCACTGCGCCCAGCTAATTTTTTGTATTTTGAGTAGAGATGGGGTTTCACCATATTAGCCAGGATGGTCTCGATCTCCCGACCTCGTGATCCACCCGCCTCGGCCTCCCAAAGTGCTGGGATTACAGCTGTGAGCCACCGCGCCCCGCCAAGAACTGCTTCTTGATGGTCATTCTAGTATTTAATTCTTTGAAGAATTCAGTCATCTGAATTTCATTTAAGGTAAATGTTGATACACAGACTGCAAAAGTCATTACTTGGAAAAGCCCTAACTGTACTGCCTCGCAGATACAGAGAGAGATATATATATGTAGATTACATATCTATATATGTAATATTATATATATGTAATATTTTGAAACAGTGTCTCGCTCTGTTGCCCAGGCTGAAGTGCAGTGGCATGATCTCCGCTCACTGCAACCTCTGCCTCCCAGGTTCAAGTGATTCTCTGCCTCAGCCTTCTGAGTAGCCGGGACTACAGGCCAGGCATGTGCCACCATGCTCGGCTAGATTTTTGTATTTGGAGTAGAGACAGGGTTTCATCATGTGGGCCAGGTTGGTCTCGAACTCCTGGCCTCAAGTGATCCACCTGCCTCAGCCTCCCAAAGTGCTGGGATTACAGGCGTGAGCCACCACACGCAGACTTGCCCCACTAACTTCTAGTTGTTAATCAATGCATCTGAGACCAAAAGCCAGGAAGGAGGTAACCTGATAACTGCAAATCCTAAAATGGAGAAGAAAGTCTCAGAACCTCAAAAGGGTGAGATATTTATGGATATTTAATCCAGACAGCCGTGTGTCCATGCTCGGAGCCCTGACTCAAGGGCTTGTTCCTGTGGGTTCACAGACTGCCCATTTCGGCCTCTCCGACAAACCTGCCAGGACTATGGTTCTCTCAGATCAGTTCTTCCAACAAAATGCGGAATGCAGGCATATCCTCTTCTGCCTCTCACCTTTTTATATATATATGTATTTTTTAAACAGCTTGTTTTAGCAGCTTGGGCAGAAGAGAAAGCTCTTCAGCTAGATCTCTAAATATCTCAAGGTTTTTTTCTAGCTCAGCTCAAGGCAACAAGCCCTTGAAAACGTCTATTAAAAAAAAGCTAAGATACTATCCATTAGTACAGATAGTAGGGTATTTGATTCAACTCCACCAGCATGTATTTAATGTTTATTAATACAAAAAAACCTTATGGAAGCTAGGGAACATTTTCTCTATTGTTCTTAGATTATTATCCTCACATTTTAAAAAAGAAATGTTGGCTGGGCGCAGTGGGTTACACCTATAATACCAGCACCTTGGGAAGCCAAAGCAGGAGGTTCGCTTGAGCCCAGAGTTCGACCAGACTGGGCAACACAGCGAGATCCTGTCTCTCTCTCAAAAAAAAAAAAAGAAAAGAAAAGAAAAAGAAAAATTAGCCAAGCATAGTGTCTCACACCTGTAGTCCCAGCTACTCAGGAGGACCACCTGAGCCCAGGAGTTCAAGGCTGCAGTGAGCTGTGACTGCACCACTGTACGGCAAGACCCTGTCTCTTAAAATTTGTTTTAATCAAATAAACAATGAAAATCGGAAACATGATCCTTTTGTAGTTTGTAAGCACGATGATTGGGGTTTCATGCTTATGTGTGAGATGGCCTCCCTTAAATCTTGTTATGATGTCAGCACATTACCCATCTGATGTGAAAAAAATAAGGAACAAACGTGACTTTCTCATCCGTCTATGAGACTAACTGGTACCCAGGTGAACCAAAGAGTTGGGCAAAATACAAGATAACTTTTTTCAGATGTTGGATTAGGGGCAATACTGGAGCATGACTCCCAGGAGAAGGGAAATTCACATGCTGAGCCCCATGACCACCATGGTTCTCTGCCTAGGTACGATTTTCCAACTGGGGTTCAGCAAGCTGGGTCCAAGCAAGGGTCATGGCCTGCTGAGCTGAGGAGTAAAATCCTTAGTGTTCAGGAGAGCTAAAGTGGCTGGAATCTGCAGGGCATAGCACCAGACAAAAGCAAACCACAGAGCAGGCCTCCAGTGAAGCCAGCTGAGGGCTGGACTGCACACACACAGGGTGACACTGCTTGAAGCTCACCACAGTGTACCTGCTTCAAGACTGAGAGATGCGGCCGGGCGTGGTGGCTCATGTTTGTAATCTTAGCACTTTGGGAGGCCGAGGTGGGCGGATCGCCTGAGGTCAGGAGTTCGTGACCAGCCTAGGCAACATGGTGAAACCCCATCTCTACTAAAAATACAAAAATTAGTGGGTCGTGGTGGTGCACACCTGTGGTCCCAGCTACTCCAGAGGCTGAGGTGGGCCCAGGAAGTTGAGACTGCAGTGAGCTGTGACCACACCACTCTACTCCCGCCTGGGCGACAGAGGGAGACCCTATCTTTAAAAAAAAAAAAAAATTGCAAGATGAATGAAGATACCACACATCTAGCAATGTTAGAGAATGCTGGATTTCAAGCCTAGCCAGAGTGCGAAGACCTACTTAACATCTTTTTTTTTTTTTTTTTTTTTTTTGGGACAGAGGCTCCCTCTTTCGCCCCGGCTGGGGTGCAGTGGTGCGATCTCGGCTCACTGCAAGCTCTGCCTCCCGGGTTCACGTCATTCTCCTGCCTCAGCCTCCCGAGTAGCTGGGAGTAGAGGCGCCCGCTACCTCGCCCAGCTAGTTTTTTGTATTTTTCAGTAGAGACGGGGTTTCACCGTGTTAGCCAGGATGGTCTCGATCTCCTGACCTCGTGATCCGCCCGTCCTGGCCTCCCAAAGTGCTGGGATTACAGGCTTGAGCCACCGCACCCGGCCAACTTAACATCTTAATAACATCCCAGACCTCACACATCCAGCTAGACCATGTCCTAGAATATGGCCTATTCTAGACCAATCCCAACAAAGCCTAAAATCAGCCTCTGATGAGATCCAAAGGCAGAATTTGAAGGTTGAATCCCACCAAGTTAGAGACCTGGGAAAGACCTTGGGCCATCCACAGATCTTCCCCAAGGCATAAAATCAATCCTATGCAAATTCAGTGGGATCAGCTGGTAACTGAACTGCCTACTACCACAAAACACTGACATTCTTCAGAGGGAGATAACGGGATCTAGAGTCCCTACGATGTCTCACATATAATGTCCACTGTACAGTAAAAAAATTACTAGATGGTTGGGAACAGTGGCTCACATCTGTAATTCCAGCACTTTGGGAGGCTGAGGCAGGAGTTTGAGACCAGACTGGGCAACATGGTGAAACCTCTTCTCTACAAAATATACAAAAATTAGCCAGATATGGTAGTGCATGCCTGTAGTCCCAGCTACTCAAGAGGCTGAGGTGGGAGGCTCACCCAAGCCCAGGAGGTTGAGGTTGCTCTGAGCCGAAATGGTACCACTGCACTCCAGCCTGGGTGACGGTAAGACCTTGTCTCAAAATATATAAATATATAAATTACTAGATAAGGAAACAGGATAACGAGGCCCACAGCCAATAGCAATTGACCTTCATATAGCCCAAATGTTGGCTTTAATACATGAAGACTTTAAAACAGCCCTCATACAGTAAGTATGTTCAAAACATAAAAGAAGAATATGGTCTTAATAAATGAAGAAGGGGAATCTACAGATAAATGAAATCTATAGAGAACCAAATGGAAATTCTAGAACTGAAAGCACAATAGCTAAAATTTTTAAAAATACAAAATGTAAACTGAAATTCTAAAAAAAACCCAGCAGGTTGGAGATAACAAAAAAATTCTCAGAACATCAACAGAAATTATCCAATCTAAAGGACAAAAAGAAAAAAGACTGAAGAAAAATGAAAAGTGTCTGAGGGACACGCAGTACATATAAAATTGTAGGATATATGGTCCACAAGAGAGAAAGTTCTTTCTTGATCAAGGTCACAGATGTTCTAATTAGCAGAACCAGAAATGACATCCAGATCTCACTGCGTAAGAATATACCATCAAATTACCTGAACACAACAAATTTATAACATAAATCTGAGTGCATCTCGGCCAGGCACAGTGGCTCATGCCTGTAATCCCAGCACTTTGGGAGGCCAAGGCAGGTGGATCACCTGAGGTCAGGAGCTCAAGGCCAGCCTGGCCAACATGGTGAAACCCCGTCTCTACTAAAAATGCAAAAATCAGCCAGGCATGGTGGTGCACACCTGTAATCTCAACTACTTGGGAGGCTAAGGCAGGAGAATCACTTGAACCTGGGAGGTGGAGGTTGCAGTGAGCCACGATCACGTCACTGCACTCCAGCCTAGACGACAGAGTCAGACTCCACCTCAAAAGACAATAAACAAGCCAGGTGAGATGGCTCACACCTGTAATGCCAGCACCTTGAGAGGCTGAGGCAGGTAGATCACCTGTGGTCAGGAGTTCAAGGCCAGCCTGACCAACACGGCAAAACCCTGTCTCCACTAAAAACACCCGGGTGTGGTGGCAGGCGCTATAATCTCAGCTACTCTTGAGGCTGAGTCAGGAGAATCACTTGAACCTGGAAGGCAGAGGTTGCAGTGAGCCAAGATCACGCCACTGCACCCCAGCCTGGGCGACAAGAGTGAAACTCCATCTCAAACAAAAACCAAAAAAGAAAGAAACTAAACACAAGAATAATCTGAGTACATCCCAACAGGCACGGTAGCCTATAAGAGCTATCATATTTTAAAATGAAAAAATGTTAAAACAACGAAAACAAAACTTACAACCCTCAACACGGTGTGGGGTTCGCTATCATTAGCGTGCAGATGGAAAACACTGTGTACAAAGTTTCAAAGGTCAGTTTCGAAATATAATAAATTACTTGAACAAAGACAAGGATCTTTGAGTTGCTAGTAAAAAGACGGACAAAGCAGGAACAGGAAAGTGCATGACAGTATTTACCTCAAAATGAAAAATACAAAATATAATGCTCATACCTCAAAATTTTCACTAACTTCTTGCATCATTTTCAACTTCGTTTCATCAGCTGTAAATGGCAATACAAGCATCAGGTAATTGAAATTATGTTAAGGAAAATATGTTAATGCAAAACTTGGATTTAGTAATTTAAGAGAAGCAATCAGATCTTATCAGTTTGACTGTCATGGCCTAATAGAAGGCACATAGCTAGTTCCCTACAACCAGTCGCACACATTTGTACTCTCAGACATACACATGCATGCACTGACAAGCATATACATACACACAAACATACACACATGTGCCTCATTGGGGCTCCAGCCAGTATTACTCATCACTTTGCTTCTCTACAAGGTAGAGAAAAGGAAAACGAGAATAAAAGTTAATGTTACAATTAATCTTAAAGTGCACAACGTTGGAGCTGAGATGGATGTGTCATATTTATGCATTTCTTTCTTTCTTTCTTTTTGAGAGAGAATCTCGCTCTGTCACCCAGGCTGGAGGGCAGTGGAGTGATCTCGGTTCACTGCAACCTCTGCCTCCTGGGTTCAAGCGATTCTCCTGCCTCAGCCTCCCGAGTAGCTGGGACTACAGGCGTAAGCCACCACGCCCGGCTCATTTTTGTACTTTAGTAGAGACAGGTTTCACCACGTTGGCCAGGCTAGTCTCAAACTCCTGACATCAGGTGATCCACCCGCCTCGGTCTCCCAAAGTGTTGGGATTACAGACGTAAGCCACCACGTCCGGCCTTGTTTATGTATTTTTTAATGACAAAAAGGATCAACTCACGTGTATTCACATCTGTGAGAGCTGCCACGAACTGAAGGTACTTTTTCATCAAAGTGGTCTGGTCAACCACCGTGGCCCCCTGTGTTGCAACAAATGCCATTTTTCTTTTGGGCTGGTTTGCTTTTCAAGAGAAAAGTATCAGGTCCATGAGTTCAACCAGCCTATGAAAAGAAGCATACAGTTAGTCAACTTACGGAGGGCACAGGATCACAATCTCTGTGAAAATCTTACCTAAATGCCTATATAATCAATATGCTTTTATCTTAATCCAGAATCTAACATTATTCCTTCTGGTTTTTTGAATATGAAGTTTACCCATTTTGTCTATTAATTTTGAAACATGATTTTTCTACGCAGATACTTTTCTTTCCTATGGTATTTCCTCTTTCCCTGAGTCAGTGGTTGGCAAACATTTTCTGTAAAGAGCCATATAGTAGATATTTTAATCTTTGTGGCCACACAGTCTGTCACAACTACTCAGCTCTGCTATAACCAGAAAGCAGTCACAGACAGACAACATGTAAATAAATGAGTGAGGCTGTGTTCCAATAAAACTTTATTTATGGACGCTGAAATCTGAATTTCATATAACTCTCATTTACCATGAAATATCCTTCCTCTTTTCCCCAGCCATTTAAAAATATGAAACCATTCTTAGTTCATGGGCGGTATAAAACAAGGCAGCAGGCCAGGCGCGGTGGCTCACGCCTAGAATCCCAGCACTTTGGGAGGCCAAGGCAGGGAGATCACGAGGTCAGGAGTTCCAGACTAGCCTGGGCAACATGATGAAACCCCATCTCTACTAAAAATACAAAAATTAGCCAGGCATGGTAGCGGGCACCTGTAATCCCAGCTACTCGGGACGCTTGAGGCAGGAGAATCACTTGAACCCGGGAGGTGGAGATTGCAGTGAGCCAAGATTGTGCCACTGCACTCCAGCCTCCAGCCTGGGCAATAAAGCAAGATGAGTCTGGGGGGAGGGGGGGAAC